TCTATACGTCGACAACAAGGCCATGATTGCCTTGTGTCAGGAGCACAGACTGGAGCACAGGACGAAGCACATCGCTCTTCGCTACTTCCTTGCTCGAGAGTTGCAGCAGCGTGGTCAGCTTCGTCTTGTTTACGTGGCCTCTCAGGCCAACACTGCTGATATTTGCCAAGGCACTTCAGCCTTGTGACCATCAGCGGTTCTGTACTGTTCTAGGCCTTGTACCTACTTGGCCTCACTTGCTCACTTCTTGACTTTGCTTGTACTGTGATCTATATACTTATACCTGCATGCTTACACTTGCTAGGTTGTGATCACTGTCCTGCTTGTTCTCCTTTATATATTTGTATATATATAACTCTGCATGTGAACAGGCCTTGTGACCATTTGCTTGTGCTCAGAATGCGTGGTGACTTCGTGATCCACCCTGAGCTTGCTTTGCCTTTCTTGACTGGTCTTGTGACCCCTTGTTCTCCCCCACTTTGCCTATGGGGGTGTGTCAAACATATATGCTGCTTGTTGTTTAGGCTGTAGTGGGGTAGCCCATATGGGGTACAACCCAAATTAGGGTTTCCTACTTGTACCGATCCTGCTGCTAGTTCATTCATCCCTATTCGTTACTCTGACGGGGACGCTTTCGGTTGATAGGCGAATATGACGGAATCAGCATTTTTTCAGGTAGGCCATCGCGCGTCCAGTACTCAACCCATGTACTCTAAGGGGTACATTCCCTTATTCTAACTGTTATACAGGCAGTTCTACAATGACTTTGACCATTGCTCTTCCTTCTTGTTATCGAGTCGCTTCGTGAAACTTTTTCAACAGTTACGCCTGTTGTCATTCTTAGCTGTTGAGCCGTCGGTCCAGATGGTTAACATTCGCGACATTTGACCTTCCTCCCCTTGTACGGGCTGATCCGATAGTGCTGCTTGTGCTGCTTCAATAGTGACGGGTGCGATACATCTGCACCTACAGGAATGCTTATGTCGATTCCCTTCTTATTCCAACAACGGATAGTCACAGTACAGTAGACGCGCGCGATCACGGCACTATCACGCTTGCGGAGATAACTCGTACAACAAGAGCTAGACGACGGGCTAGGCACTTTTGCTTGTGTGTTCACTGTTTGCACATTCACGGGGGGGATTTTGCAAGAGTTTCACTAGTAAAGATTAACAACAATGATAGCAACATCGTTGACAAGCAAGACTACATCACAGCTAGCAAGCATGCCTGTCGACCTCCAGCGCAGCACGGTCGACCGCGATCCAGCGTTGCAAAGCTCACACCGCTCTAGCGCTGCAGAGAAGCAACTTGCCAACGTTGCAAGTCCACGGTATGCCAACGCTGCAGCAAGTCGGCTGCACAGCGTTGCACCCGCATGACAGCGATGCACCTACTTCGCAGGTGCGCGGTCGGTTGGTGCACCTCGCCTCATCACGTGCACAGCGCAAACGCCTTCCCGAGTACACGCCAGCACTGCACCCACCAGCCACGTCGACCTCGGGATACCACCTACAAGGTCGGCATCACATAAACCACCCCGGCGACCATCTCACACGTCACTCGGAAAACTCGGTCGACCAGGCAACCACGCCTCGTCAGCCAGCCGTGTCGATCGCCTGCTACACAAGGCCGGCGTCCCCAAAGTCGGCTCCAGCTGGTCGACAACCGGCGGCCTCCGAGGTCGACCACACCGACTCGGCGCCCTGCTGCTCGGTGCCCTGCTACCCCGCGCCCTCCAGCTCCCCTGTCCAGGTCGACGTCGGCGCCCCCCTCGTCGACCACCGAGCCAGGTCTGCGGAGAGTCACTCTACAATAATCGTGAGCTAGAATATGGGGTGTTGGCACAAACTCTAGGAGTGATCGTAGCTTTGTTTAGTTCCTTAGCACTTGCACATTCACGGGAGAAACTGGCAAGAGTTTTCACTAGCAAAGTTGCATTACAGAATGATCGCAATAACAATGACAAGAATGACTACATCAGGCACCTAGCAACTCTGCAGCTAGCCTGGTCGAGAGCCAGCACAGCATGGTCGACCGCCTTCCAGCGTTACGTAGAGGAGCCGCTCCAGTACTGCAAAGACGGGACCTGCCAATTCAGCAGGTCGACGGCGTGCCAACGTCCAGCAGAGCGGCTGTCCAGCGTTGTACCCGTAGATGGCAGCGGTGCGCACGCTCGCAGGTGCGCGCAGACGATTGGCCCGACTTGCACCGTTGTGCATCCGTCGACCCTGGTCTGCGCCTGACGAGCCACATCGACTTCGGGATACCAGCCCGAAGTCGCCTCGTCACCGCGACCTCGACGACGTTCGCGTGCCTCCGCAGAACTCGCCGAGCAGGTTACCTGGTCTACCTGGTGGACCACCCAGTGCTCTGGTCGACACCTCCCTCGTTGACCACAGCTCCCATCGGGGAACACCCTGGTCGACAGACTGTCCGTCGACCAGCGCTATCAGCTGCTCCTCCTGGCCGATGGTGTTAAACTCCTAGCTAGAGCTTAGTAGCCATGGCTAGGGTTTAGGTTTTCGAAGGAAAGAAGATAATAGAAGAAGAGGGATTGCACTAGCAGCAGATAGGATACATATAGCAAACCCTAATTTGGGTTGTACTCACTATAGAGTATCCCACTGCAGACTAGACAATTATAGCATTCTGACACACCCCCATAGCCAAAGTGGGGTATGATCAGCACAGCAAGCAGTCGCATAAGAAGTTCACAAGCACAAGCAAAGCTAGAGGCAGTCACAGAGGGCAAGTGAGGAGGAGGAGGGACTGTGAGAGGAGTGGAGATAGGAGGCGACGGGTGAAGTCGCTGATACACGGGCAACAGGAGCGGCGCGCACGGTGGCTACCGGAGCAAGGGCCCCGGACTACAGGAGTAACTGGCTCCGCGGCTAAGACGAGCGGCAGGAGCAACGGACCCACGGGCGACTGGCGCAGCAGGCTCGCTGGGCTACCGGAGCAAGGGCCCCGGACTACTGGCGTTGCTGACGTCACGACGGCTACCTCCGCTCAACCTCCCCCAACTGTCCCACACCCCTTTCACACACCCCTTGCTTCACCCCTAGCTCCACTCCCACGACACCCCCCTAGCGCCACTCCCTCGGCTCCCACACACCCACCCCCGTCAGCGGCAACTGCAACAGTGGGAGAGAGAGGAGGAGGAGGAGCAAGGGACGACTCACACACCCGCCACCCCCATACCCGCCACCCCACGGCTGCACGCGCAGTAGGGAGAGGAAGGAGAAAGGGGGGCGGGGGGGGGGGGGGGGGGAAGAAGCTGCTCCGCGGCGCACGAGGGCAAGGGACGACGCGCGGGTCCAGAGGGCAACGCGCGCGGGTCCACGGGGCAGCGCGCGCGGGTCCCCTGGGGCGACGCGCGGGTCGACGGGGGCAGCGCGCGGGTCGACGAGGCAGCGCGCGCAGGTCGACGAGGCAGCGCGCGCGGGTCCCCTGGGGCAACGCGCGGGTCGACGGGGGCTGCGCGCGGGTCGAAGGGGGCGCCGAGCTGAAAACCGCCGCGCGCCCTGGGCGCGCGACGGGCAGAAAACCGCCGCGCGCCCGGGGCTCGCGGCGGGCAGAAAACGTCGCGCGCCCGGGGCGCGCGACAGGCAAGAAATGGTCACGTGCCCGGGGCGCGCGACTGAGAGAACAGCAGTGGAAGTTAACGGTGGGCCCATCCACAGGATCGACCAGGGAGGGTCGACCTGCTTTGATAGCATGTTCAAATCCTAACTAGAGCTTAGTAGCCATGGCTAAGGTTTAGGTTTTACGAAGGAGAAAAGATAATAGAAGAAGAGGGATTGCACTAGCAGCAGATAGGATACATATAGCAAACCCTAATTTGGGCTGTACTCACTATAGAGTACCCTACTGCAGACTAGACAATAATAGCATTCTGACAGATGGCCCGTTCGTCAACTAGCTCAATCAGCTGCAGCCGTCGAGCTCCCCTGGTCGACGGCTCCAGCCCCGCGACTGTCCTGTGCAGGTCGACGACCACCTCGTCGACCTGCCCCGCAGAAGAAGGCCGTCGAGCTCCCTGATCGACGGCAACACCGCAGCAATCACCTGGAGCTCGACGAAGCCCGTCGAGCAGCTCCCTCACTGCGTACGGTCGGGTGCTACTCCCGTACATCCGACCAGGACGTCGGCGTCGCCCAAGCGAGGGCGGGGCCTACACTCCATTCCCGTTAACAAGGTCGGCCTCCGGCTCCCTGTCGTCTGCGGCGTGGCAGTGGCCTCGTGCAGGTCGACCAAATCCGTCGACCTACATGCTGAACTCGGCGCCGCCCACTGCAACTGATCGGCTGCACTCCCCGTACACCCGACTGCAAAGTCGTCTCCGCCCAACCGAGGACGGGGCCAACCACAACCCCCGTTGACAACGCTTGGTCACACCTTGCTAGGCCAACATCAACACTTGTTGAAATGCTCTCTACAAAGTTGAAACTCTGAAATATCTTATACATATTCTAGTAAAGTTAGCTCAAGCGCAATTTTGTTCGTATTGAAAAACCATTGCTACCCCCGAAATGTATTCGGGATCAACGCCGTATACTTCTTGCTGTCGTCTTCCTAACATCCACACCCACCTCACCGCGCTTAATTGTTTGCGTCTCCCAATTTTGATTGCTTGTTACCTCGCACATGATTCTCGTGTGATATCTAAAAACAAATCAACCCCTATATGGTGGGATGTATTTCGAGAGGCATCAACCTTATACACCGGGCAACAAGGTGTTTAGGGTTGATGCCTCACGAAGGAAATTCCATCCGAATGGGTTTTAGTTTTTGTTTGGATAGAACCAAATAAAATCTCGAAGTTACATCCGTCTAAATTGGTATTTGTTGGGCCATTATGCAACAATCGAACAGCGAACACTTTGGCACGAGTTAAATCTCCTAGAATGTTTACAATAACTTTCGGAGTTTCAACTTCTTTGAGATCGTTTCATTGTGTGACCAAAACGTCAACATGTGGCATCCGTGATAGTGCTATGATCGCGATAGATACGAACTGTACTATGACAGTCGGTGATACCCATGTGACCAAACGCGATAAAACGGGCTTTATTGTGACTGCCCATTTATTTTCCCTAAGAAAAACGGACGGAAGCTCCGTCGCAGCAACATATTTTAGGGTTTCGCTGTCATTCTTGTACTCACCAAGACATTCCCGTAGAAGGCCTGCGTGCAATCAATTAGTCGTCACTTTCAACATCCATCATGGTACGCTCTCGCCTCGCGGTTCAACTCGACTCGTTTTTAGAGAGTGCGCGGGCTTCCACAGGGATTATTCAACGTTAACCCGTTCACTTTTTTCTTTTCCGCCCTCCCCGCTCGCTGCTGCAGTCGACGCTAGCAGCCGCGCGAGCCGACAACTTCTACTACCCGCCGGAATGGACGCCGGAGCAGGTAAGCGCGCCGTGCTCCCGCCGCTGCTTCCGCGATTGCTCGCGTTCCTTCTCTTGAGAGCCTTTTCACGTTCCACCGCCGTGTCTTCTACATTATTCTCGGCGTCTTACCATGCACTGACGCTTCCCGAACCTTCTGCTTCGTCCTCTCCATCGATCTCCGATTTCTACACTTTCCGTGTTTTCCCCCTTCTTTTCCCACCCCTTCTTCCTCCACTCCATTCTATTCGTCGCGTTCGTTTCTCGCCTCGCACCCTCCCTGCTCTCCGTCCCCTCCCTTGCGCGCGCGCGCGGAAGGAGGCGGTGTAACGATCGGCTCCGCCATGCGCGCGCGGGCAGCCCTCGCCGTCACTGTCTCACCGTGTGTTCCCCCCCGCGCATGTTGCCATGCTGCGGCATGACGTGGCGTGATGTATCATGGCGCGGCATGGCGCGGTGGTGTGACAGGGCTCGCTGAACAAGTTCCAGGGACAGCACCCGCTGAGAGAACGAGCCAAGAAGCTGGGCGATGGGATTCTCGTCATCAGGTGCACCACTCGCAACCCAACCCAACCCATCCCAACCCATCCCATCTCACTTCAAACCCCCACCCCCTCCTCCCCCAACCCCCTCCTCCCCCCTCCCCCCCTTCTCCCTCCCCCCAACCAACCCTCACACCTATCGACCCCACCCCTCACCAATTACTCTTGTGCCGTCACCTCGTTTTTACGGTTCTCTTCTTCAACCCCCTCCCCTCCCCCACCCCCCAACACCACCGCTCTTCGTCTTTGTCCCCCGCTCAGTGCTCGCTGCTCACTTTCTCCCCATTCCGTTGGTCACATCACATGACCGCCATCCTCTCGTGCTTGTTTCTTTGATTGCTTTTTTATTTTCCCGTCATTTCGCGCTGATGCCCCGTCCCCTGTCCCGTGGCGCCACCACCACCACGTGCGGGCGAGGCGGGCAGGTTTGAGATGCCGTTCCACGTGTGGTGTGGCGGGTGCAAGGCCATGATCGCCAAGGGCGTGCGCTTCAACGCCGAGAAGAAGCACATCGCCAACTACCTCTCCACCAAGGTGCCCTGCTCGTCCTTTCCTCCCACATTCCTCCTGCTCCCAACACTCGTGCTCCCCCATAGCCCTTTGCTTGCGCGTTACACCAGCTGCGCGCCCTGCCATGACCATGTTCCCACTGCGCCCTGCCATCAAGGTTCAAAAATACGGTTTTCGAAAAAACGGTCCGTTTTTTACGGTAATTTTCAAAAAAACGGCGTTTTTTTGTTAGAGAACTGTTGTCACCAACAAAAAAAGGGAAAAACAAGGTCGAGTACATTTTCAATCATGCCCACAAGCGCACGCATGCAAGGAGGGGTTCGTCCTCTTCCTCCTGGTACCTTTCGCCATCAATTTGGTCCCAGAAATCGGCCGATTTTTTCTTCAAACGAAACCACCGTCTGGAACCTTTTTAACCGTTTTTTACGGCCGTTTTAACGGTAAACTTTCAAAAAAACGACGTTTTTTTTAACCTTGCCTGCCATGACCATGTTCCCACTGCGCCCTGCCCATCAGCGTCCAGCCTCTCCCTCCCTGCCGTCCGTTGCGTGCGGCCGTGTGTGGTGCAGATATGGAGTTTCAAGATGCGCTCAGCGTGCTGCCAGCACGAGATAGAGATCCACACGGACCCCAAGAACTGCGACTACCTCGTCGTCAGTGCCCTCTGCCCTCTGCCCTCTGCCCTCTGCCCTCCTGCTGCCTCGCCCTCCTCATGCTTCCCTATCTCGTGTGCTCCTTGCTTACCTCCTTGATGGCTTTCCTTGTGCTTCGTTATCTCCAATCCAACCCCCCATGCCCCACCTCCCGCCGCCCTGCCCTTCCCACTCCCGCCTTCCCTCCAAGCATCGCCTTACTTGTCTTCTCAATGGTACTACTTGTGCTTTCCCTCCATCTACCTCCCATGCTCCACTTTTTGCTGGCCCCTCGTTCCCACTCCCGTCCTTCTGTCTCTCCTTTCTCCCTCTCTATATCTCGCCCTTACACCGTGCTAACACACACACTCTCATGCTCTTCCCAACCCCCTCATCCTCCTCCCCCCCCCCTCCCCCCTGCCCTCTCGGCTCCCCGTGCACACTCACTTGTGTATGCCGTGGTGCAGGTGAGTGCAGCGGAGCGCAAGGCAGTGGAGTACGATGCAGAGGATGCCGGCACTGTGGAGCTGCCCTCCAAAGAGGGTAGGTAGGAGGGGTGGCTCGGGTGGGGTGGGGGGGGGTTGCCAGGTTGGGGGTTGGTGTGGGGGGGGGAGGTGGGGGGGGGGGTGTTGGGGTGGGGGGTGGTTGGGGTGGGGGGTGGTTGGGGTGGGGGGGGGTGGGGGGGGGTTGGGGTGGGGGGTGGGGGAGGGGGTTGGTGGGGGGAGGGGTGGGGCGGGTCCGGCGGTGGGGGGTTGGGTGGTAGAGGGTTGGGGGGGTGAGAGGGGGCACTTGCACCACCTCTGCCGCCTTGTCCACACCACTTACCCACTACTCACTGCCCATTCATGCCTCGCCACTTCATTCCATGTACCCTCCATCCCTTTATGCTCGGCCCCCACAAGTTTCTCTGGTGTTGCCGCTCGACTCTTCTACCCTTTCAACCTCAGCAGCATTCCCATACTACCCGCATCCCTCCCTTCCTTTCTATCTCTCTCCCTCGCTCTCCCTCCCTCTACCTCCCTCTACCTCGCTCTCGCTCCCTCCCCCTCTATGTTGGCATATACGCTTTTGGCCTTGACTGTATAACGTTTACATGCTATACGTTAGCGAATACGCTATACGCTCGGGAGTTTTTTTCTGGGCAGCCCAGTGTGAGATTTTCGGGAATATGATTTTTTTTTTTTTCCAAATTTTCACGGTGATCATCTCGCCGTGGTCGAAATGCTCGTCAGAGATCTATATAGCAGAATGTGCTGCTGGAGTTGCAATTCCGAATTTCAGGGTTCCACCGCTTTGAACCGAACCCAATCTACGAACTCTAACCTTTCCAATACGTCCGCTGCAACTGCTGTTTCTCTTCAGATCTACTTCGCGTTCTCTCCCCCATCCGCCCATTCCAACCTTGTCACTCACTCCTCCCAGTACCCTATGCAATAATTTCTTCTGTAGTTTCTAACCCGCCATCTGATCTCGCTCAGGATAACAATAGGGCACGTCCTCTTCGTGAGATTAGGGAGTACCTTTCCGATGTTGAGCACAAAGTCTACAAGCATTTTAGCTTAATTGGGAAAAAAAATTAACCTGAACTGAAACACAACCTTCGTAAATCCCCCCTGTAAACAATACCTAGGGTGGTCTTTTCGACCTGCCTGGGATTTTTTTAACCTGCCCGAAAAAAGCGTATCCCTGGTTTGGGGCCCTTAGCGTATAACGTATATACGCATGCCAACCTAGCTCCCCCTCTCTCTCCCTCTCTCTCCCTCCCTCTCTCTGTCTCCCTCTCTCTCCCTCCCCCTCGGTCTCTCTCCCTTGCTCTTCCTTGCTCCCTCTCCCTCTCTCTCCCTCTCCCCCTCTTCTCCCCCTCTCTCCCCCTCTCCATCTCGCATTCTGTTGTTCTTCCTCTCACTCCCTCTCTCTCCCCCCCTTCAGTTCATATCTCTCTTTATCTCCCCCTCTCCCCCTCTCTCCCCCTGTCGCCCTCCCCCGTATCTCCCTCTCCCTCTTCCCCTCTCTCTCCCTCCTACCCCCCCTCTTGTTGCCTGCACTGTCCAGAGCGAGAGCAGCTGTTGGATCCGCTGGTGCGATTGGAGCATGGGGGCCGCGACCGCAAGAGGGCAGCAGCAGCGGCACCCACTCTAGCTGCCGTGAAGGCTGCTGCGGACACCAAACATGCGGACCCCTTCCGCCTCAACCGTGTGCTGCGCTCCCAGCTCCGGGTATGCTATGCACCCACGGGTGCCGTGGGTTGGGGATGGTACGGGCAGGGGAAGGGTTGGAGGGGGGGAATTCGGGGGCAGGGAAGTGGGGGGGAGGGGCTTGACGTATCAATTGTAATCTGTAGTATTTTGCATGGTTGATTGGATGGATGTACGTCGAGCTTTGTTCCGTTTGTCATCTGGCGTTTCCCACACCTCTGCAGTTCCCTATCTTACATTGACTCTCATGAGTTATCACTCACACCTCGCCCTGGCATACAATGTCTCGCCAATCCTATGCTGTGACCGTCAGGAGCGCAAGAAGCGGGTGGCAGAGGAGGAGGCAGAGGCGCGCAGCAGGGGGCTGGCGATCCGGCTGCTGCCGCCCTCACAGGCGGACAGTGCAGCAGCTGCAGCAGCGCCCTTCGCCCACCGCTTTGACCACAACCGCGCGGAGAAGAGAGCTGCCATTCGCAGCGCCTCCATCTTCACCCCCCCTGCTGCTCCCTCCGCCACTCCTGCTGCCGCTGGCAGCTCGTCACACAAGCGGCATAAGCTAGAGAGCAAGCAGCAGGTTATTGTGGCACACAGGAGCGGCGGCGGCAGCAGCAGCAGGAGCAGCAGTAGAAGCAGCAGCGGGGAGAAGAAGGCAGACTTGGCAAGAAAGGCAGAGCTGATGGCAAAGAGGCGGCGGATAGATGTGCAGGGCGCACTGGCACTGACACGCGGGCAGCTGTGAGGTGACACATGGCACATGCCTGGCAGGAGACAGCATGAGCAAGGCACTGCTCATTTGTATATATTGCTCATCCCACTCCCTCCCCACCCTCAGGCCTTGCCTCCCGCCTTCCCTGTCTGTTCCATCATTTTTGCAAGATGTTCCTGTTGCAAGTGATGTGATGAGCAGTAGCATGTTGTAAGATACGGTAGTGGAACTTCCAACACAGTTGATCGGAGCATTAGTGGAGAGATCTGATCTGGCAACAGAGTCACTTTTGGTGTGATTTCATACGTCCACAGCAGGCCTCTGGTTAGGATTTGAGCCTCTCTTTCGTAAGGCCAATGCTCTGTCTTCACTCTTTCTGAAAGGGTACTTGGCAGAAGCACTCTTTCCCAGCCGGGTATAAACAACAAATAATTTAAATCTGCTGTACTTACAATGTCCCGTGTTGCAGTGTTTTCTGTGTAAGTGTGTTTGCTAAGAATGCAGGTTCGACACCCGACGTAGGTGTATTCTGTTGTGTGATGCCGCGGTTTTACGCGGGAAAATGTAACATCCCTGTTAGAGCGAACTCGGTTTCCAGTGTGTCTAAACCTATTAACTCTGAAATATCAGTGTCCTAGAACCAAAAATTATTTTTTGTAAGGGTCTAGAAATGAACCACTCTGAAAAAAAAGGGTGCATAATGAAAACCAGCCTTTTAGTCAGTGTCATAAGGGTAATTCACCCTGTTAACCAGAGGCCTGGTCCACAGCAGGAGAAATGAGATACGACAAGAAACAGGAGTCAGGTTGGGAGACCGGGAATGGGGTATGGTGTTGGAAACAATTGATTTACCGTATACTCCCGGACAAAACACCCCCCCATAATTGTACACCCCCGGGTAGCTTGTGCGGGGTGGGTGTTCTGATAGACCTCGTTTCTACTATACCCCCCTTTTTGGCTGATTTTCTATAACACCCCCCTTTTCTTACAGATTCATTATTATAGTCGTTAACGATTGAATTTCGTGTGAATTTCTCCCTCAATGAAATTTCGCGGTACATTCAAAGGCAATCTGCCGAGATTTGCCCCCTCCCACTATTTCTCTGTTGTCACGTGCAGGTGAATCTTCCGTTGCAAGTGGCAAGAGAGGTGCCACATGGCATTTTCGTGAGGGCGATGAAGTTCGAGGCCGAAACTCACATTCGCGCCTCAGGCAGTGATGCTAAAAGGACCAGCAAAACACCCACATTGACTAATTAAAAAAACACTAACACTAAAATATGCCATATGTAAAGACCCGGGTATTATGTATTTTTTTCCTATGAGGAGACCCCCCCCATTTTTTCCGTGTATTTTTAGCTATACCCTAGGGTGTTATGTGTGAAGATAAGCAGTAGAAGAAGGCGCCATAGCTAGGAAAGCCCTAGCTAGGCAAGAAACAGTTTAGGCAAAGAAGGAGGGGTTGCACTAGCAAGAATGAGGATACAAATAGCAAACCCTAGAAGGGTTGTACTCGCTATAGAGCACCCCACTACAGGCTAGAGCATAATATTCTGACACACCCCCATAGCCAAAGTGGGGTGTAATCAGCAGAGCAAGCAAAGCAGAACAAGCTCAGGGTGGATCACAATGTCACCACACATTCTGAGCACAAGTTCAGGAAGCAATAGTTTAAAGTTCACAATTATGAGCAAAGCTAGTGGTAGTCACAACGGGCAAGTGAGGAGGAGGAGGGACAGTGAGAGGAGAGGAGATAGGAGGCGACGGCTGAAGCTGCAGACACACGGGCAACAGGAGGCACACTGGCACAGCGGCTACCGGAACAGCTCTCCGGACTACTGGAGTAACTGGCCCGGCGGCTAAAAGTAGCGGCAGACGAGCAACGGACCCACGGGCGACTGGCACAGGTGGCTACGACTGGGCTACCGGAGCAACTCCCCGGACTACAGGTGCTGCTGGCGACACGACGGCAACCTCCGTTCAACCTCCCCCAAACAGTACCACCCCCCCTGACACACACCCCCTGCTTCACCCCTAGCTCCACTCCCCCTTCACCCTCCCTTAGTACCACTCCGACGGCTCCAACAGGTCCACCCCCCCTCAGCGGCAGCTGCAGCACAGGGAGACGGAGGAGGAGGAGGAGCAGGGAACGGCACACAGAAGCTGCACCCCCATACTCCCCACCCCCAAACCCTAATCCAGGAGAACGGGCAGAAGGAGGGGTGGGGCGCCTTCAGAAGCACGGGGGACAGCGGGGAGGACAGGGGCAGCGAAGAACGGGCCGCCCACGGGCCTGGCACAGCCTCCCGAACCGCGCGCAGGCGGCCCGAGCCGCGCGCGGGCCTGGCGCAGCCCGTACGGGCCGCGCGCGGGCCTGGCGCAGCCCGTACGGGCCGCGCGCGGGCCTGGCGCAGCCCGTACGGGCCGCGCGCGGGCCTGGCGCAGCCCGTACGGGCCGCGCGCGGGCCTGGCGCAGCCCGTACGGGCCGCGCGCCGGCTGTACGGGCCGCGCGCAGGCCACGACGGGCGACGGGGGGCGACGCGCGGGTCCCCGTCGCCCGTCGTAGCGCCTCCTGGGGGCGACGCGCCGAGTGACGGGGCAGAAACCCGTCGCGCGCCTCGGGGCGCACGGCGGGCAGAAAACCGCCGCGCGCCTCGGGGCGCACGGCGGGCAGAAAACCGCCGCGCGCCTCGGGGCGCACGGCGGGCTGAAAAACCCTAATTTCGACGCCGCGCACCACGGGGCGCGCGGCGGACAGGGAGTAGCAGTAGCAGCGGAAGCAGTCAGGTGGGGCCCACAGGCCAGGAGCATATCGCTCTAATACCATGTGAAGATAGGAGCTTAAGCTAAGAAGTCATAGCTAGGTTTTAGGTTATATGAAAGAGAAAATAGGAGAAGAAGGTGCCATAGCTAGGAAAGCCCTAGCTAGGCAAGAAACAGTTTAGGCAAAGAAGGAGGGGTTGCACTAGCAAGAATGAGGATAGAAATAGCAAACCCTAGAAGGGTTGTACTCGCTATAGAGCACCCCACTACAGGCTAGAGCATAATATTCTGACATTATGTCCGGGAGAATACGGTAAGCGCCCTGTCGTGTCGAAACACCAAGTCAGAAGCGAAGCACAACATATCGAAGCATCAGCGAGTCAACCCTTGGAGGTTGAGCAACTGCTGGAGGTTACGCGAAAGTCAAAGGTCAGCGACCTTTGACCTGACAAGTACAGCGCGACAGCTGTTGGGCTGAGAAAAGCCCTTAGGATCTTTGCAGGGATGAACTCTGAGTAGGACTGATGTAATAGCGGAAGCGTTTTAATGAAGTATTGTGAACCACCTTGCGCTAGTATGTGAGGGCAAAGTAGATTGATTAAAACAAAGAGATACAAGATTATATAAGAGTACAAAGAATATGAAAGGATACGGTTAAAACTGTTTTACTGTTGCTGTTGCGGTTCGATACAGTGACGACTCGGGCAACTGCTCTGTAGTAAGTCAGTTGTGTGTCCTTGCTGTCGCGCTGTACTTGTCAGGTCAAAGGTCGCTGACCTTTGACTTTCGCGTAACCTCCAGCAGTTACTTCAACCTCCGAGGGTTGACTCGCTGGTGCCTCGATATGCTTTGCTTCGCTTGTGTCTTGGTGTTTCGACACGACAGAGGCGCTTAAGACTGATTGTTTCCAACACTCCCCTTCGCTTCTGGAGTGTCGTTGCTGGTGACGTGGCTTTGTCCAGTCAGCAGCATGCAGTACTCCAACTTCTGCTTTCCGAGCTTCTTGGTCAAGTAGTCAGCTGCCATTACGGACGTGGGGCAGTATGACAGCTCGAGCCTTTCTTTCTCGATCTCGTCCTTTACGAAGAAATATCGCAGGACGATATGTTTCGTCCTGTTCGCGAAGCCGTTCTTGTTGGCGATGCGAATTGCCGACTGGTTGTCGCAAAACAGGGTGAAGCTGGGTAACTGAGCCAGTTTCGCTTCTTCCAGCAGTTCGCGAAGGTAAAGTCCTTCCTTGGTGGCTGAACAGAGTGCAATATATTCTGCTTCAGCTGACGAGAGGGCGATCAATTCCTGCTTGCTCGACTGCCAAGAGATAGGTCTGATAGGTTCGAGGCGGTAGATGTAGCCGGTGCGAAAACGCCTGTTGTCGGAGTCGCCAGCGTGATCGGCGTCATCGTAGCCGATTAACTTGGGCGGTGTAGTTGCGTTCTTGTAGTAAGTTAGGCCGATCATCGGGGTGCTGACGAGGTAGTGAAGAGCGCGGTCGAGCTCCGCTAGATGTTCTGCTTCAGGCTTCTTGAGGTAGGTGGCGAGCTGACTTGCAGAATACGATAGATCCGGGCGGCAGGTGACAGATGCGAAAAGGAGGCAGCCCAGTTTCCTTTGGTAGTCGCGTATGCCGGCGGGCTTAAGTAGAGCGGGGCTTCCCTTGTTGTTTCCTGTCGTGTAGCGGTACGGTGTGGAGATGGCGGTCGGTGTGAGTGCGAAGCGCTTGGCGATGGTGTCGGCGTATTTCGCGGCACTGAGGTAGATCGCGTCTACCTCTTCTCGGATGTTGAGACCGAGGTACTGTGTGATGGTAGTTGAGACCGTGAGCGTGAGGTCTTTCTGCAGCTCCCCTTCGAACCAGGTTGTGATGCCGTCGGTCGAGCCGATGTAAAGTAGATCGTCTACGTAGACGATTAACAGGATGTAGTCAGTGTTCTTCGTGAGTCGGTACATCCCTTGATCATGCGGTAGTTGTTTGAAGCCGATGCGAATGAGGCGAGCGTGCAGGTATTGTTGCCATAGCCGAGGAGCTTGCTTGATGCCGTAGAGCGACTTCAGCAGCTGACAGACTTGATTCGGCTCTCCATTGGAGCCGTGCGGTAACTCGACGAAGATTTCTGCGTCGACAGGTGCGTAGAGAAATGTGTTCGCGACGTCGATTTTTCGCAACTTCTTCTTCTTCATGGCGAAGATCGCGAGGAGAATTCGCAGTGAGGTATGTCGGCTGACCGGAGCGAATGTCTCGGTGAAGTCGCGTCCGTGTTCTTGGTCGAAGCCACGTACGACCCAGCGTGCTTTGAATTTGTCAATGGTACCGTCTGCTTTTGTTTTCACTCGGAAAACCCACTTTCCGGTGAGAATCGTTTTGTTCCGCGCCACACCGATGGGAACGACTTTCCAAGTGTTGCGCTCCTCTAGTGCCTTTAATTCCCTGTCCATGGCTTCGTGCCATTTTT